TTGATCAAATTTAACGACTTTAGGGTGTTCTTTTGAAACTAAAGTAGAACTAAGACTTAATAAGCTCTATCGCCTGATCATTGAATCTACTATTCAACTCATGTAGTTGTTTGTCCAATGTGGCTGTAAACAAATCCACTCGATAAAAATATTCAAAAGTAACATGATTATCTATTTTTCGAGGCCAGTATCGAGTAGAAGTATATGGAGCATTCATATCTGGCATATCTATTTGATGTTTTTGACAAAAAAAAAAAAAAAAAAAAAAAAAAAAAAAAAAAAAAAAAACTTTACTTGTGCAAGTAAAGAATCCCATCCTTTGTTTCTGAATTCATTTAGACCTTCCTTTGTTGCTGAAACTAACTCCATGGCATTAAGAATATTGTGGGATTTCTTTTGTAGAGCTTGAGAAAGTATATCAATTTTCCCCATTACTTCCTTTACCAAGTGAAGAATAAACACAAACTCAAATGATTTTAGGAAACAATAAGCTGCATCAGCATCTCTGCATTGAGAATAAGTAGTAGATACATCATCAATTATTCCCCGGAGAACAACACGAGTACAATCAAACATGTTAAGCAAACTGCAAACAGAACGAAAATAAGAACCTCAACGTGTATCACCAGCTCTTCTTAATGTCCCAACTTGATTCAATCCTTTTCCTGATTCAATTTCACCTAGTTCCAATAATTGTTCAATCCCAGTTGCCTTCGCCTTTTGTAACTCATCATGACGCTTACTGGAAGCACAAACTACACTAATTAAAAAAAAAATTAAGTTTGTGAAAAATTGGTGTACATGAATAATTTCCCTTGAAGCAACTACCAAGGCTAGTTTTAATTTGTGAGCAAAGCAATGAACATAATATGAATAAGGACAATCCTTACGAACAAGTGTCTGTAATCCGTTCCATTCCCCTCTCATATTACTAGCACCATCATAACCTTGGCCACATATTTTACTAACATCAAACTGATAGTGCAAAAGTTGTCTCAACATATTTATTTTTAGGGTTAACGATAAGGTATCCATAACATGAACCAAATCCAAGAACCTATCCTCTTTTATCCCTTCTACATCAACAAACCTTAAAACTATCGCCATTTTCTCTTTTTTAGACTCATCCCGTGACTCATCAACCATAACACAAAAGTATTAATCACCCACTTCACTACAAATATGTTTTCTAACTTTATTTGTAGTAATAGTAAGAATTTTTTTTTGAATTTCTCTAGAAGTATACTTTGAATTATAAGGAGCTATCTCCAATATAACATTTGCAACTTCATCATTATAAGATGCTAGAAGTTTTTGTATTTGCAAAAAATTACCACGATTTTTGGAATTAGGAGATTCATGCTGTCCTCGTAAAGCACACGCTTGGAATGTCAACCAATGAACTGTGTCAATCAAAGCTTTTAATCGTAAACGATTCTTCAATATTCGCGCTTCATTTTTCTTCACTATGATATTTTCAGTGTATGCTTCTTGGTTCATCAAGTTTTCAGCAAATACAAAAGCAATATAACAGGCTCCTAAACATCGAAAAATTCCAACTTTCTAATTACAATTTACAAGTATCCAAATTCCAACAACTAAATCCATAAATCCCTGAAACTGTGAAAGTTGAAACAGGAAAGAAAGCTGAACTGTTAAAGCTGAAGTGAAACTGTGAAAGCATACCTGAAACGGTGAAAACTGATCGTGATTTTCTATTGTTCTTCACTTCTTCTGTGTTGTGAAACAAGAAAGAAAAGGAGAACAACAGATTTGCAGTTGTGTTGTGTGGAACAGTTGAACAACAGCAGGCAACAAAACCACAGCAGGGAGCGGTTGTGAATGGCGGAGCCAGCTTTTGAGTTATGACCTTCGATTTGAGTCTGCCACGCCGACTAGCGAAAGCAATTGCTGGGGGTTGGGGCTGCGGGATTGTCAGATTGGGATTTGGGGCAGAAGCTTAAAGCTTTATAGATTGAATGATTGCTAATTTCTTCTCTATCTCGATCAACTTCTTAGTAAACCAGCATTGGATCAGAAGGGGCCACAGCCCAAGACTCATATTGTTGGGCCTTTAATTTTGAAAATTATACATATCTACTCTACTTCTAGCCCAAAATTCAGGGGGGGGGGGGGGAGACCCTCCTCGCCCCATAAAAGTTATGCCCCTGTTTCTAGCCCAATGCAGCTAGTAAAGAAAAAAGACGAAAGTTGGCAATTTTGTTTGTATTATAGAGCTATAACAAAAACACAGTGTTTGACAAGTTTCAAATTCTGATTAATATTGATGAACTCTTTAATGAGATTCATAGAAGTTAGATTTGAAATTAGGGTATCATCAATTAGGATGGTGGGAGAAGATGTGCACAAAACCGCTTTTCGTACTCATGAAGGGTATTAAAATTTCTCGTAATGCATTCGATTTAGTGAAAGGACAAACTACGTTTCAAATCGTAATGAATGTTGTTTTCAAATAGTATTTAAGACAATGTGTCTTGGTATTTTTTGACGATATTTTAGCATATATTTCGTCGGTGAAAGATTGAAGTTAGGGGTACGTAGGTCATGCGATTTCAAAAAATGGGGTTGAATTGGATAGATACAAGGTTCAAGATATAATTACTTGACCCCAACCCAAGAATGTTACTGAATCACAAGGATTCTTGGGATTATCGAGTTATTATCATAAATTCATGCAAAGGTATATATTAATCGCGGCTCCTTTTGATTGATTTTCTCAAGAAGAATTAGGTGTTGTTTGCTTTTCTTAAAAAAAACCTCTTCAAAACTCTTATTACTGTGTGGCGCAACTCACGCGCAACACTTTTTGTTCCGCAACCGTTTGTTTTTCGGAAGTCTTCGGGGCTTAAAACCTCTATCCGTGTGCTTCTTGGGGAGGCACTTGTTGTACCTCTTCCCACCCCTTCAAACCTAAACCTAAAAAATCCAATCCCAAAAAACAACCGGCTTTTTTTTCCAAAAATCTAACAAAGACGATATGTTGTCTTTTCAAATAAGTGTCCATGAAGTATATTTAATATTACGATTATGGTCATTTACTTATATATTATATTCTATTTTCATCCCTTTAACATTTAATATATTAAATTTATATCCCTTTAACTATTTTCTCCCATTTGATTTACATAAGTTAATTCATTTTAAGGTTGTTTTTTAAATTAGTTTATTTGATTTACATAAGTTAATTCATTTTAATGTTGTTTTTTTAAATTAGTTTATTTTAAATTTTTAATGTCTGTAGCAATCTGCAGATGTTAACAAAAACAAAGACACTTCTTATTACAGTCTGTAGCCGTTTAGTCTACCTCTTCTACTGCAGAGGTGGTCCGCAAACTTTTTGAATTTTTGCTTCGGAAAAACAAACAACACATTAGTTTGCAAAGTTTGCATGGTCTCTGATAGTGCACCAAGCATTTGAATAGTTAAAGAATGCTCTTATACAAGCTGCAATACTTTGTTTACATGATTTCTCCTGACATTTTGTGTTGGAAACAAATGTATATAGATACAGATTAGGAGTTGTTCTAAAGCAACAAGAGCAACATATAACTTACTTTAGCCAACAAATGCATCAGGTTGTGATTTTCTTACCCGCCAACCTATCAACCCGTCAAATAAAATGGTTGTGTTCGGGTTAGCACTTAGGTTTGCGGGTCAACCCGTATAATTTTTAGTTTTATTTTTTAAAGGGTATTACCATTTAAAATAAGCTCCCGAAGATGGTTCACCATATGATATATTATATTTAAGCTATATGACTACACTTATCAACTTATGTGTATTGCTTGTCTTAAATCAACCGGTCCTTACTAATATGCGAATAATATATGAGTTCATGGGTCAACCCACCAACCCGGCAACCTACAATCTCGTATAATTAAACGGGTTAGACGGTCGTGTCCGGGTTGGTGTTTCCAACCCGTGACCTGCTAATCCGAACCCAACACGATTGTCACATGTAGTTATTTATAATAATTTTTCGTTAAGTTTAATTGATATTACCTACAATATTCTTTTAAATAAAATAAAGAAAAAGATTTTGAAAAATTCATTAACTAAAATTGGAAAAAAAGTAATTCCAATAACTAAAAATAACAAATAAAATAATTTGTTAGTTATTTTCGACTTTTTTTCTGTGAAAAATATTGTAAGTAATTCCATTTTTTTGTATTTAGCTATATGTAGAAGCTACATCATCATATACAATTAAATGGGTTAGACGGTTTGTCATCGAGTTTGTGTTTACAAGCTGCCAATCTGTGACCCGTCAATCCGAACCTGACACGATTGTCACCCTAGTTATTTATAACATTTTTCCTTTAAGTTTATACCTACGATATTCTTTTAAATAAAATAAAAAAGATGATCTTAAAAAGTTCATTATCTAAAAATCGACAAAAATGAATCCAATCACTAGAAATAACAAATTAAATAATTTGTTAGTTATTTTCATCCTTTTCCCTGTGAAAAATACTGTAAGCAATGCTATTTTTTTATTTAGCAAAGATATATATATATATATATATATATATATATATATATATATATATATATATATATATATATATATATATATATATATATATATATATATATATATATATATATATATATAAACTACACACAATGCAACAGTCAAGACTTAGACTCGAGAATAGTGTGAACACAAAACACTAACAAAACAGGATAGATAGACCAAGTTTGGGCTCTACAAAGTTGCTTGGTTTGAAAATTGAAATGCCCCACACCACCCAACCCCATCCTAGTATCTATCCATTTTTATTATGATAGACCCACGTTACACGGTCTACAGCCGCCCCTTTAATTAAATCCAACTACAAAACAGCTCTTGTTGAAGTTGATCAACAGCTTCTACAAACAAACAACTGAACCACTACATTCAACATTCGATCTCCCCTCTTTATAACACCATTATTCGTTTCGTTTCAAAATCCCCTCAAATTTCAACCCAACAAAACATGACATATGTTTGGAGTTCACAAGGTGCTGTCTTGGCAACAGCCGTAGCAGTCTCTGGAACCGTGATCTTGCTTTTTTTGTCTCGGGAAAAGGCGACGTTTCTTGAAAATACAACCAGGAATCAAGATTCCGGTGGCAGTGCAAAGTCGGGATTTGTAAGTATGCGTTCTTGTCTGTCATCAGGGAAGAAAGATGGACATGGACAGAATAGAAAGAAAGTGCGGTTTTCTAGTGAGGTGACGGAGTTGTCAATATGAACTCCCTCCATGATGAATGATGATGTCCATAGATTTACTTTTTCATTTTTTAATCTTATGACGCCGTAATCTATTAACTAGATGAAGTGGTCCTGACTCCTGAGCTTTGATTCTTGATAATGGTTTCGACAGACTTGAAGAAAAAAGTTATCAGTGCTCTTATGTTAAATACCTTTTCTAGAATGTTTCGATTGATCATCATGGTGATCAACGCTTAATTGGTTGTCTCTGAAGGGTTTCCTCATTGATTTGTTAGTAACTAATCTAAGAATTATGTGTCTAAAGATTTTTATGTGTGGATTAATCAAACATCCCCCTATTGTGTTCCTTGATCAACCTTTTTCATTATTTAAAAGAATCTTTAGGTGTTTTTTTTTTGTGGTCGCAACTGGCAACGGGTTAGATTAGTTTGGGCTGGGTTTGGGTCGGAACCAAGATAAATAAATTTATTTAAAACTTTACATGAAACAGAAAAAAAATGTTTAGTTAAATAAGTTACAAAAGAGGAACAATCTGTTCAAAGTTAAAAAGAAACACAACGTGAAATTAATTGGCAAAATAATATTCTTAACTTCTAAGCAATAAGCTTGTTAAAATCTTGTAATTGTTAAACTAAATGTTTTTTAAAAAAAATATACGATTAAATTATGTATATACCGGAAAAAGTTCGGCGGGTTGATGTCACGTTAAACTTTTCAACAATAACTAAACATATTTAATTAGACAAGATGTTGAAACTAACCAAACCTATTTGATTAGTTTTGTCGGGTTTATTATATTCAATTAATACGATTGAAGATCTGAACCCAATAGTTAGTTTTTTGGTGAGTTGGACTGATATGTTGGATTATGCAAGCTCTTTATGACGTTTTGAGTAAATTTCACGAATCGTCCCTCGTACCGGCGTAAAAAGAACGTTCATTTCAAAAATTAACTTGAACTGTTCCTGATTTGGTTAAAAGTTGTACATGAAATGACTATCTTGCCCTTTTCTATCCCATTATGACTATTTCCTTCTCCAGCGACCTGTAATGTTCAAAATGAAGTTGAGAGCTTTTCGTGGGTTGAATTTACAGCTATAAGTGGTTCGTATCAATTCAGATCAAGAGGGTGTTTGAGAATATTTTTTAAATGATTTTTGCCTTTTAACTTTTCTAAAAAGTTAAAAAGATGTTTGGAAGATGGAATTTATTTTTTTTCAAAATAACTTTTTGTAAAGAAAAAAAGAATGGGTTTTCAAAAGTCATGAAATTGTGTCTTTTTGAAACTTTTGAACTTTTAAAGCTAAATCACACTCAAAAGTCAAAAAATACCACTCAAACACTTTTTAAAAACAACTTTTAGCTTTTGTTTCTTCAAAGAACTTTTGCTTAAAAAGTAATCTCAAACACCCTCAAATATCAATCTTCATCAATCTCTCATAAACATCAACATCAAAATGTGACCAAGAGAGAATCACCCTCTACCCTTGCGAATATCATAGCCAACATTGACTTTTCACATATTCGGTTACTTCCATCGACCCCTCCAAGAAATATATTATAACAGATATTCACAATACGGTTAAGACAAATGATCGAACGACTGAGAGCAAATTTTTTTTAGCACTGCAAGCTCACCAACCTCTTCACCAAGACCATTGTACTTGCATATAGAAGCAATGAGACAAAATATAAGGGTTTGAGGTTGTTCAGATGGGTTGATCTTGCAGCGGATGAGGCGGAGGGAGAAGAGACAGTAGCAACAGTCAAGGGTGGGCTCGATGACTTTTAGAAGAAGATGAATCAATGGCTAGGATGAAGGATTCGACATCAGAGACGGAGGAGACGTTATACAAAGGAGTTTATGGGGAAGAATCGTCGGTGAGCGATGACCCCCGGTAGCAATCCGCAACGGGATTTTCCGTCTAGGGTTTGAGACCCCTACGAGATTGTTGTTGATGGCAGGAAGAATTCTCAAATGCGATAAGCTAAAGAAGAAAGTGAAGATCCATAGATGAAGATGTGGTCTTCATCCGATTTGATTTCAACAATGGTGGGCCAATTGTGACCTGGTTTCAATAATGTAAAAGGAAAAGAGGGGGGTCCATAGGGATGACCCGAGTGAAAAAATAATAATACATGGAATGTACGAGTTAATTTTTAAAAATAAACAATGAACGTGCACTTTATCACCTGCACGAGGAACCATTCATCTAATTTACTCTAACGTTTTTTGATCGCATCTTGCTAGCGCCAAACTTGATTAAGAGGGGCTTGAGTCTAGCAAACCCTTTTGTCCCTTTTGTGGATGCATTGAGAAACAGGTGGATCATGCTTTTATTAAGTGCAAGTTTGTGACCAAGGAAAGAGGAAATTGCCTATTTTCCTTAATATCTAGGCTTCTAAAGAACACCGAGAAAATATCTAGCTCTCCTAAGATTCGTAGTTTTTTTTTTCAGCTCTCATTCAGATTTCAGACAACTATATGGTGCCATTTTAAAGACGGGAAACGAGATTCTTTGCGGAAAAAAAAATAATAATAATAAATCAAAAACACCACTCTACTTTGGACACACCACTCTACAAAACACCAACCTATATATTAGGTTTGCTTTTTTACACGAGTAATACTATTATTATTGGAAAATAAAGAATTTTTGGAGTTTGGATTTTACTGCACAAAGCTCAAAAAAAAGAATCTGAATCTATGGTCAAAATAGGCCATAATTAATTAAAGGGTAGAGGGTAGATTGGTGTGTTGTGTAGATTGGTGTGTATAAAGAAATAATCATCAACAAAAGGGATGAAATTTAGCTAAATCTTTTCAATTGACTAAAAAACATGGTTAAATTATCTAGTATGTGATTGGCACATCTGGTGTTGCTCCATTGTAGCTTTCAATTTTGCAAAAGTTCAATTTTCTTTTCTCGTCACTCCTTGTTTTTGCCTAGTTAATAATTTAATATAATATTTTATTGTTTGAAGAAAACACAAGCTCTTTGTGAAAAATAATAATAATAATAATAATAATAAAAAATTGGTGTTATAGACCGCATAAATAAACTTGTGAAAAAATTTTACCACGAAAAAACTTATTATTCCAATGTCACATCAAAACCTTATTAATCACCTTATGTGTGTATGTACCAATTTTGCAATAATGGTACTTTTTTATGTTTTATTACCTTATATTTATTAAATTATTAATTATTTGATTATATTACTTTATTAATTTATAAAAGTACACATATATTAAGAAAAAACATGACTTATTTATTAAATTATATATTGATAAATATATTTAACAATTTAACCATTTATAACATAAGAACTGTTTATTTTGTAAAAAAAAGTTACAAAGAAAATGACTAGTAACAATTTTCTAAAAGATTTTTCTATAGAATAGTCAAAATTAGAAAAATAACCATAACAGTCACAATTTTTGCAGGTTACACTGCAATAATTTTGGTGCCCGACAATTTATTTATTTATTTTTGAGATTTATGAAGTCAAAACCTACGAAAATCCAAATGGGTTGCAAAAATTAAAAAAATGATTTTTTTTTTAAATATATACAGCAGGTCAACACCTACAAAATCTAGGTGGTATGTGACTTTTGTTTAAAATTTTTGCATTTCATCCTTGTGATTGAGAAAACTGATATGATCCGTCTGTTGATTGATATGAAGATCATATGCGAAAGTTGTTATTTTTTTTTTCATAATTTTCATTGAATAACCTATATTGGAGCTAAAAAAGTATGATTTCCTAACATCCAAATTTGAAATGTAATTGGTTGACGGATAACCACCGTTGTTACAAAAAACACAATAAAAAATCAACTCAAATAAAGTTCATATGCAAATTTGAATAATCAAAGTTGTGTTTTCTTTTTCATATTTTCCCACCAAATACCCTACTTTAGAAATAAGAAAGGTATGAGTTATCAACATCCAAATTTAGAATGTAATATTTAATCATTTTTTACAAAGAACACAATGAAAATTTAGAGCACAAAGAATTTGCATGAATATTTTAAGTTGGAAAAAAAAAAAAGATTTTCGTATGCACCTATGAAAATCTACGTTTTTGCAAGTAGCCCTCTTGCATAAATATGACTATTTTTAGTATTTTTGAAAATTTTGGCTATTCTGCAGAAAAACCTTAAAAACTTTACTATTATGGTCATTTTCTTTATTATATCTTGCAGAATATTTTATGAATTTATTACAAAAATGTTAATTATTAGACAATTCTTTTTTCGAAATGATAAAATAACTTCGCGAGGATAGGATTTCATTAAAATGATTTTGTTAAAAAATATTTTTCACAAAATCAATTGTTATTTTGTGTGTAAAATCACAAAATCATGATTGAAAATTTGTAAAATTGATAAAGCAATCGATGATTAAGATTAAGGTTGTGTTTGGCGCGCCACAACTAACTGATAAGCTAGCTTATTTTTCGAGTTTTTTTATATTGTCATGTTTGGTAAGCCAAAAAGTAGCTTATAAACTAGCTTTTTGAAAAGCTACTTAGACTAGCTTTTTAGGAGCTTTTTTAAAATTTTCCAAATACATCCCTTAATTAATTATAGAAACGTATATTTTTACATGTCCTTTTATGTAATTTTATATATTTCAGCTAGCTTTTCAGCTAGTTTTATGAAACGTTATTTTTTATCAGCTAGTTTTTCAGCTATCAGCTAGCTTTTTATTTAACAGCTAGCTTTTCAGCCATCAGCTAGCTTTTCAGCTAGTCCGCCAAACATAACCTAAAAGATTGATAATAAACGGTTATAAAACGAATATTGACAAATGAAAACATTAAAAAAAAATTAGGATTTTATCTATTTTGCTATTTAACGAAATGAGTATTTTGATTGGAACAAAGCATTTTATATTCCAAACAATATACAAAGTCGGTTTTTATTTCAATTGTACAATTACCTCCACATAAATTTCTCTTAATATGGCATCTTATAATGCTCATATATAATGTCATTTGTTATTGGTAAGTTTTTAGAGTTTTGACAATGTTGTTTTGCATATATTTAGATTTTGCATCTGATCATTTTTATTATTGTGCTTGATATATTGAATTTGGTTTATCACATAAGTCTCTTTTTAGTTGTATGTGCCCGAAAATAGGACATTTCGAACGACCATTTCATATGTCTACCCTAGATTCCAAACAAGTTCACAGCATTTTAGGAATACATCATCATATTTTGGACTAATGTAACGTCCCAAAAACTCATAACCAAAATTTCTTGTTTTTATATTAAATAAAACATCAACATGTAACATCCCAAAAATACAGGCCAAAACTTCGTTTCAATTAAGTTATTATAAAACCAACAATATAAGAAAGAATTCATAATAACATATCATGTCAAAACCAGTACGTCAATAATCAAAGCATGTCATCATAAAAACCCAATGTTCTAAATAACGCAAGGTGTGACTTGGGGGCAAGGTCAAAATTAAGCTATGTCAAGCCGTGATGAGCCATGACGTTTTTCAAGACGTGACTGTTTTATATATATTGAAAGAAATAAATCATATATTTATTGAATTTTATCAAATATATGAAGTTTTTAGAAGTGTTATATTAAGATTTAATCCAAAAAAGTTAACAAAAACTGAATTATTTTAGGCCCGACAAAGAAAAAAAAATCGTAAAAACCCGCGCCTTGAAAAAAACTCGCGCCATAATGCGATAAGGCACGCATTGACACGTTATTTGGGCGTCACGCTTAACAAACTCGCATTGGTCGTTTTCGTAACGGCCACACCACGCCTTGAGACATGCCATGACAAGCTTTTTATAACCATGTAAAAACCATATCATAGTGTAATCCCAAATATCTCGTGTGCAGAAACATAGTGTGATGCGCTGCGATCGAACCGACTCATTTCCTTTGAAAACGAAGTACCTGAAACCAAAACTGAAAACCGTAAGCACAAAGCTTAGTGAGTTCCCCCATCATACCACATGCCATACAATACACATATTGCCTAGCATACACAACATACAAAGCGGTTGTTTCACGATGGCAGCCACCACCTCACGGTGGTGGCGGTTGTTCCTTTTTGGTTCCCAATCGATCAACATATACAACATGCCCTTTCTCGAGATTTTGAACACAACCGCCACTTGTGGTGTGCGGTGACGACAACAGCACCCCTACGGCCACAATGGTGGCTAAAGGTGGTGGCTAGCGGGAAGAAGCGAAGAAGATGGTGGCGTATCAGCAATGAACGACGGCAGTGAAGATGGAGGCGAGGAATGCGCATAGCCTCCGACTAAGAAACAACAACAACGACGCCGTGATATCTCGATGGTGAAGGAAGCAGGCTCTAACGGCCAGAGATGGCGGCTACAACCCGCTTCCCTTCGTTACCGACTGAACAGCAGCATCACACGATGGTCTCCGTCTTCAACAGCGATGGTAAGACACAATGGAGGCTCGGTGGTCGGAGGGGCAAGAGATGATAGGGTGGTGGCCGGTGGTGGGAGGCATAAGGGTGGGGGTGACGGCTGCACATGGTCCCTAGGGTTAGGGTTTGCTTTGGCATAAATACTCGTCTCCACACCAAACTCGTTGCCATAACGGCAAAACTGGTCCCTCCCCATGACATTTTCTTTCAAAATAAGGCCAATATTTACCATTTAAACCCTCAGCATCAAAATCCATTACAATTTAGGTACCATATTTACCTAACAGCCCTCCACTTTGAGAATCTTTGCAAAACTAATCCAGGATTTACCTTTTAACCCCTAATTCTC